AACATCTGGAGCGTGCTAGTTCGCGAACCTATTCAGGCGTCGACTCCCAGCGACCTTTGGCAAGTCGTCCAAGGTCGTTGGGAGAACCTACGATCAGGCATACTTTGTGAAACTGTTGTGGCAAGTATGCCTGATCACCTGAATAAGGTCGCGAACTTAGCTGGCTATTGGTCAGGATACTAACCCTCTCCCAGAGTAAGGATACGGACGGACCCTATCGTCAGCTGAGCATCATCTTGTGCAGTCGTACTCGTGGGTGGACCCGGCGACTTCTTTGTAGACAAGGAATTAGTCTCCCGATGCAGTTTAATTATGCAAGAGACAATTATCGGTGATATGTGTAGAACATTGCTAATTTCGTGCACAGTTTTGTGTTCCTCCTGGTTTTGTAAATAGATTGTAAATTTTTTTGTAAATAGACTTTTTTTTTGTAAATAGAGTATTGTAAATAAAACCTATTAGTCATATGTAATCTGTGTGGTTTTCGAACAACTCGTGATAACTTTGCACAATTAAACGTTATAACAGTTATTAAAACGCTTATGTTAGATTTAGCTGCATTGCTGGTGGATTGGTCGCTAAAGTAGTTTTGTTATCTCTGATTCGCGATTGTGACATAGTTCAGAAAGGAATCACGCCCAATACGCGTTATGTAGGGTGTAACCTACAAGAATGTCCAATGAAGTAGAACGCACTGTGGATTTTAACAAATCACGTGCAAGGAAATTTCCAATGTTTTATTGGACGATAACAAACCAATATACTTCTTGTCTTGTCTCTGAACTTGCAGGACTTAATCAATAAATAAGAAAGGCGCGAAAATGGGAGGGGAAATCATATTCAGAAGGAAAAATTGATGCGGAGACAAACGTAGGTGTGGAAACAGGTGATGAATATCACCTTTGCAGTTAAACTCGTTTAGTTTGGTAAAAAAAGTGGAATTGTTACGTGGTTTGACACTCGTGAAGATTAAAAATCGTGTGTTCCTCGAGTCTACTCATAAAAGTAGTTGATGGCGAGAATGCACTGTATCGTTTTTAATTATGCCATTTAAAATAATTATTTTCATTCTGTAAAAAAAATCATCCGATTGTTTGCAATAGTTTAATCCCTTCATTACAAGGCTTCTTTCGAAATCACGCGTAGAAACATGTATAGCTTTTGATTATTTAAAAAGAAGTATTCCTTCGCAGTTTAAAAAAACTGTGTATATGTTCTTTGTATGTAATGTGTCGAAAATGGTTCCTGAATGGCATATTTCCCACCAGCAACCTGACGCCTGCAATGATGGCTTTCTCGTAGAAATTATATGTGATGGCCGGGAAGGCGCCATTCCTACGTTAGGTCGCATTATAGCAATAATAATTAAACACCTTAAATGAGACAAAACAGAAACGGAAATTATATGTAAGGATATAAAATTACTTTTTACATAATTACAAGTAGTATAGAATTAAACAAATGAAATATAATGTGATCCGTGAATACAAGTTGTAAACTGGTCAATTCGAATATAATATAAAGACAATGTAATAAAAAAAAACAAGTCGAATACAATAAGATCTGTTTATAAGACGGCAATATGTTTTAGTAATATATATATATAATAAAGATGTAGAAATATGAAAACATGTTTGATTGTCATAGCAATTTTAATTCATAAACTTCGTAAAAGTATCATTTAAAACAATTCGATTTAATACGTGATAAAAGCAATTTCATAACCGAAGTGGAAATAATTTATAACAAAGGAATTAAAAGTAAACAGTTCTGACAAAACTGATTGTTAAATATCTAGGACAACATTCTGCTCAATGCAATTAAACAGTGACCTTGACATCTGACTGTACAAAGAAAAGTGAAAAGCCTAAATGTGCTAATTGTTTGAGGAGTGGCCTAGATAAACATGAACATAACACACTGGATAAGGAGTGTCCACTCTACATTAAAGCAAAAGCCTTATATATTAAGACAGCTGACTACTTACCTTAATAATTATGGAATCCTTTACAGGACACAAATTGTTTAATTCATAGTGCTACCTCTGCTCCTTAGCACAACAACTAATACAAGCAGATCATCACTTCTCTATATACATTTGTGTTTGCTGACTTTGTGTGGACTTCGTTTTTTTTTACTTGTACGCATATTATATATGGATTCATAGGATTCTCAAATCTTTGTCTTACTAATTTTCTGCACGGGATAAATTCTGTTAAACACTTTGTCAGAATTATTGTATTTACTGCGACCTTCATTTGCAAAAACATTCCTGCAGATAAGCAATCTGTTATATGCTGCAGCATGCTGCTGCATATTTTGTTCGGGTCTTTTATTGTCATTGTGTTTTTATTTTTATTTATTTATTTATTTATTTTTTTTAAATTTTTCTTTTCACTTTGCTTTGTTCATTAGTGCATACTGTAACTCAGTGGAACTATGTAACGGATATGTTCCTGTAATGCTCACTGTGGGGCAGGACTTTGTACCTTGTTTTAAATGTACAATTAAACTAATGAATGAATGAATGAATGAATGTCCTTATCTACTGGAGAGGGCGCTAAACTAAGCTGAGTGAATGTATGCATAAATTTTTGCTCTGTTTTCAAATTGAGTTCTTTGTTGAAATTCTTATTTTTTGTTCACAGTGTTATATATTTTTGAAAATTATTTATCGCAAGGATTAAGAATTTATCAAGTTTTAAAAAATTGGACCATTCTTCTCGAAGTTATCCGTTTTTGGAAATTGTGAATTATCAGATCTGATTTTCAGAACATTGAAACCGATTAATCAAAAATTAACGAGGATACTTATTCGCACCTATTACGTGAGTACACTTTCTATATTTCAAGATTTTTGGCCCAATATTTAAGGAGATATTGCATACTTCCAGTATATTTTCATTGGGTTGTCACGGGCATCCAGCTGGTTATTTCTAAAAAAAATGTTTGATCATTTCTTAGAAAATATGAAATGTCAATTATCCTGCAAATTTCACACTCTTACGTTCATAGTTTTTAAAATATTATAATTCTAGTAATTTTGAACTTTTCAACATTCATTCTTCACTGATCATCTCCATAGTAACCTCTTTGTTTTCGAAGCTTCTGGAACTTTCAACGGAAGTTACGTTTTTCTCGTTTTATAATAATAATTTACTGGTAATATTATATATTTTTGGACTCCTCTAAAGAAGAGGAAGACGTTGAGCACGCTTTCAGAACAATAGATTTATTTTGATTATATTGATGTCTGTAATGATTGGAATGGAATCAGAATTAAAACTTTTTCATGATAATGCCAATGACATTATTGAGAAATTTAAAAAATATTCTCTGGACAATCCAAATGCTAAGCTGGGAGTTGCGTGTCATTCCTCATACATATTGACACAATTCGATCGGGTAATCCAATTGGCGGAAACCTTCATAAAGAAAAATAGTTTAACAGAGTACTTTGATAAAAAATTTTCTGTACTCTATGTCTTTGCAATCTTGCTGCCCACTTTGCGGTATCTGTATTATGCTCTCTTTGTGCCTATGATTACTTACGCGGCTGGTGTGTTGGGTGACGGGCTGGGGCCCTTCAGATTAAAAGGTTGAATCAAGCTCAACGGACTGTTTTTATTATGATGTCGAAAGCCTATCGTACTGCTTCTACCCCCGCCCTTCAAGTTATTTTGGGCTTGCTGCCATTGGATCTTGAGGTCAAATACGCTTACTATAGGTATTTAGTAAGATTGGTAGATCCTTTGATGTGGGCTCCTTCCAGTATAAGGCAGGTAATCTTAATTATAATAGGAAAGATATATTAAATAGGATGAAAAAAGAGCTTTATAATATTTGGAATGATAGGTGGGTATCTGAATATTGGGGTAGAGTGACGTATAAGTTTTTTCCTACTGTGCAGCAGCGGTTGAGGGCCTCGTGGGTTGAGCCGGATTTTTATCTGTCCCAGATACTGATGGGACATGGAGATTTCCGTCAAAAGCTTTTTTCATTTGGGTTAGTGTCTAATGTTTATTGTGAATGTGGAGTAGAAGATTCTTTAGACCATTTTATATTTGATTGTCCACTGTTGACAAACTTGAGAAGTCAGGTTGATCTGCTAATAGAAACAGGGGATTATTTTAAATTAGTAAGTCATCGGCGCACGTATGAACAAGTTTTTATGGATTTAAAATTAATGTTAAAAATGAGGATGGAAAGGCGTTTGTTAAGGTCTTAATATATATTTTTTATAGTGTTTTAGTTATATAGTTTAATATTTTTGTTTTATATCTACACTCTTTTTAGATTTGTGATTTAGGAGTTTTATTGTAAGAATTTATATGAGCTGTTGTAATTATATTTATTTTTGGGATTATTTTAAAAATTTTTGTCCAGTTTTAAAATTATTTAAATGGTATTTGTGTTATTTTATTATGGTATTAATTATTATGGTATTTGTAGTTATTGTAGGATGGTTAAATAAGTTAGGGTATTATTCCACTGATAAACCTTTAAAGGTAGGCGCAGTAAATGAGAATGTTTGGACTGTCTGGGACGATTGTTCCTATCTACTGGGGCCGAGACCCTAAGCGATTTGTGTGCGACCATAGTGAGCCTTTTCAAACAGATCTTTCGAAGCTATCACGAGTTTTTCATTTCCAGTGTCATCTAGATGCTAGTAATTTTACTCGCTAATACACTGCTTGCTTAGTCTCCAGCTGCTGACCTTCACGTGGTGGCCCTGTTTCCCCGTCTTTAAGGTTACTAACAGCAGCTTTTAAAAAACACTTTTCAGTGCCACTTTATTCTTTCTTCCTCTTCACCTTCACTTCAGCTCTGCTATGTGCAAGGAGGGAGAACCCAGCGAACAGTCAATGCGCCAACCAGAGGCTGGGCTGGTTGAGATCTTCTCCATTCGGGATCAACTCGAGCAATATATGGAGGAAAACCCGAACTCAAAATTCAGTACTAAAACACACTCCAGAAGTATACTGGAGTTCTTTGATAGAATGATCAACATCTACAAGAGCACTAAAAAGCCGGTGAATACCGAGATCACCGCTATATCCTCGAAGCTGGACCAGCTTCTTGAGGCCAGTAAAGCCGCTCCACCCATACCCACCTACGCTGCTGTGGCAAAGGCGGGACCTACAGTCAGTAGGACAAGTGGCAACGGTGCTGTTATACTCATCGAAAGCAATGACACTAGTGAAACTGCCGCGACCATTAAACGGCGGATCAAACAACATCTGAACCCAAAACAACTAAAAATAGGCATCTCTAAAGTCAGAAAAGTGAGAAACAACACTCTCCTAGTGGAACTAGAGAAGCAAGGCAACGGAAAAAAATTAATAGAAGAGATACAAAAAATACATAATCTGAAGGCAAGGGAACCCAAGATAACCCTGCCAAAAATTGCAATATACAACGTCCCTGCCTAACTAAATAAGGAGACGTTAGTGGAAGCCATCCACCAGCAAAACACCAAGATAGCTGAACAATACAACAACTATGAAGAGTTCAAAAAGCAGATTCAGGTTAGGTACAAATGGGGCAAGAAACCTGAGGTAAATCACTGGGTCTGTGAAGTCACTCCCCAGCTGAAAAAGCTGATGACTAAACAGAAAAAGCTGTACATAGACTGGGTACGCTGTAATGTAAAGGAGTACTTCAACATAGTACAGTGCTACAGGTGCTGTAAATACGGACACTATGCAAAGGAGTGCTCGAGTGAAAGAGCCTACTGTAACCACTGTGGCGGAGACCACAGGTACTCCGAATGCAAGAATAAAAGCACTTCACCCAGTTGCATCAACTGCATAAGAAACAAGGCCTCCAACTTCGCCCACCGTGCCAACCAGAAAATACCTGCACAGAACGAATCAAAATCATAAAGAACACACAAGCCAAAACCAATTATGGATAGTCACAACAACCATCAAGAAGACAGCCAGGAAAACAACAATACCAACATCAACATCAACTTTTGGCAGGTAAACCTGGGCAGAGGGGTAGCGGCAGTTTCACAACTTGTCGCTGCCGCTACGGGGAGTGCGAGCGTCCTCCTCATCCAGGTACCCTATCAGTGGGAGGGCAAGCCATACGGCTGGCCCCTCAGCATGAAACAACTCTACTATTGCAGGGAAGGTGTCCCATGGTCTATGATAGGTATTTTAGACCCAAACCTGAACTGTCTGCTAATAACGAAATACAGCAATGCTTACCAAACATATATCGAGATAAACAGTGCCAGCCAGCACTGGATCATCGGTAGTATGTATGTGCCCATGAATGAGGGAAACCGCCCTCCACACCATGGAGGAGGTCATCGACAAATAAAACCATACCCACAATATCCTTATAGGTGGTGACTTTAATGCTCACTCCTTCGTTTGGTTCGACGAGGAGTCGGACGATAGGGGTGATATGCTCGAGGCATTCGCCAGCGAGGAGGAGTCATACTTCCTGAATGAGCCAGGCAACCTCCCAACTTTCGAAAGTAGCAATGGGATGTCAAATGTGGACGTAACCATATGCAACAAGTATGCAATACACCATACCAAGAACTGGTCAGTACTGGACGAAACCACTCTCTCAGACCATCAGTACCTATCGTACCAAGTTACTAACCACAGCCAGCCAAAAGACAACATAAAAAGGTATAACCTCCGCCTGGCCAACTGGGACAGGATTACAAATGCCATTAACAGTAAGAATTACAGCTTCGATGCTATCACCTCCACGCACGAAGCGATTGATCACACCAATGCCTTCCTCCACCACCTTACCGATACTATCGCGAGTAGTATCCCGCTTTATAAGGAGAAGGACAAGGTAGTACGTTGGTGGAATGGCGAGCTGCAAGCCATGAAAAATAAGGTCAAGGCAAGGAGGAGGAGATATCAAAAGTGCAAGGACCCCACAGAAAGGGGCTACCTAAAGACAGCATACTTTGAGGAGCAGGGGAGGTACAAGGACCTCATAAAGCTGGCCAAGAAAAATAGCTGGGAGGACTTTTGTACCCGCTCCTCCGCCGATCCATGGAATGTGCTGTACAAAATCGGCACAAACAAACTAAAGAGAAAGTTCCAGCTTACTGATCTAAAGAACAAAGCGGGAGAACGGGCTCTGAGTGCCACAGGAAGTTTAAAGCTCTTAATCAACGAGTTTTTCAAAGATGACAACAACAACGAGGACAACCTCTACCAGGCAGAAATACGAAGGAATCTTTGGCACTACTCTACGGGCACTGACTCACCCGCCTTCTCCCAAAATGAGATAAACTGGGCGATAGCCAAGTTCAAGAAAGGCAAAGCCCCTGGCCACGACGGTATAACCGTCGAGTTAATAGAGAAATTGAATGAAAAGATTCCTGGGATCTTTCAAGCCCTATGTAACTGCTGCCTAAAGTTCGGCATCTTCCCAAGCTACTGGAAGAGAGCCAAGGTGGTCCCTATATACAAGGGTAAAGGAAAAGACATCAACCCATACCAAAAGCTACAGGCCTATCTGCCTAATCCCAACCCTAGGCAAGCTCCTGGACTGTCTTATAACAAATAGGCTCACGGAGTGGCTAAATAAGGCCAAGCCGCTGCACAACACGCAGTACGGCTTTAGAGAGGGCCTCAGTGCCGAAGACGCCATCCATCGGGTGGCTAACTGTCTAAAAACCCAGAAAACAACAGCCGCCTGGACGACCACCATCGGGCTGGACATCCAAGGCGCCTTTGATAACGCATGGTGGCCACTCCTACTAACAAGACTGGAGGAAAGAGAGTGCCCAAACAATATCTATATGGTGCTGTGTGACTATTTCACCAACAGATCCACCTCCATTACCTATGGAGCGGACACCATCCAAAAACCCGTTACCGTGGATTGCCCGCAAGGGTCTTGCTCAGGCCCGCTCCTCTGGAGCATTCTCTTAGATGATCTCCGATGTCAAGGATTTCTAAAGGATATACATACTACGGCATACGCCGACGACGTATTAATAATCATCTCTGCCGACAGCAGAGCCAAGTTGGAGAAAGAAGTCAACCGTACCCTCCAGAAGATCTATAACTGGGGTCAGTCCAACAGGCTAGATTTCAACCCCAACAAGACTAATGCCATCGTCATTACGAAACACAACGTTGCTAAACGGCATCCAAAGTTCCACCTGAACGGTGCCCAAATTAATATCACCCTGTCGTTTGTGTACCTCGGTGTTACAATCGACGATAACTTGAGTTGGCTACCCCACTTAGTCAACCTTGTTGAGAAGACTAGTAACCTCTTCGCCTGGTTCACCAAAGTGGCAAGAAGGGACTGGGGCCTGTCAGGCCCCGCACTAAAGACTATATACCAAGGTGCCATTGTTCCAATGGTAACCTATGGGGCGAGTGCATGGGGAGAAAAATCAACCCATACCCATATTAAGAGAAAAGTACACACCATACAGAGGAAAATTCTTTTAAGAGTGACCAGAGCGTACAGGACCATTTCAAATGACGCCCTCCATGTCCTGGCGGGCGTTCTACCACTAGACCAGGAAGTCAACCTAAACATGGACCTACACCTACTAAGGACCGAAAACAAGATACCAGCATACCTAGCAATGGGTAATGCGGTTCTGGAGCCCAAGGTCGCGGCGGCCCACTGCTTGACCAACAGGGACATACCAACTATCAACGAAAGGATATATTCAACCAACAAGAGCAGCCGTATATACACAGATGGATCCAGCAGCCCCTCCGGCATGGGGGCGGCGCTGGCGTACTACAACGGAAATCGCCACATTTACAGTCAAACCTAAAAACTAAAGACGGTATGCAACAACTACCAAGCAAAGTTGTTCGCCATCTGGAAGGCCCTAAAATGGGCAAACAGCCATTTCCACCAAACAGACATCGACATCTGCACAGACAGCAGATCTGCCATTGAAGCCATCAAGGACGTAAACAATAAGAGTCCACTGGTGCAAGCCATCTGGAACACTTTGCTCAATAACTCAAAAAACAATCGATATTCCTTCTGCTGGGTAAAGGCCCACGCCGGCCACCCCAGCAATAAAACTGCCGACAAGATCGCCAAAGAAGCGAGCGGTCAGGCCACGACAAACAGTTACAATCTTATTGCAAGAAACAGTTTAAAACAACGCTGTAAGGCCTACCACCGTGCCGTCTGGCAGCGGGCCTGGGAGACGTCTGTGAAGGGAAGAGGACTATTTGCCTTCCTACCGGATGTCAACCAACAGATGAGGTGCACCCACCTGTTACTGGACCAACGCACATCAACCTTCTTAAGTCAACATGGTAACTTCAACGGGTATCTCCACAAGTACGGACACGCCGCCTCGCCGAACTGCGACGTCCTGGAAGACCCGATGCATCTTCTGTACAACTGCATCAGACTGGAGAACATTAGACACGAACTACGACAAGAATGCTGCCATGAGGGCCTTACCTGGCCTACCCCACCAAACAAGATCATAAACGAGAGACTTTATAATATAATGCAAAGAATAGTAAATATGTACTACAACCTGAAGGTAAACTGTAATAACCAATAAATTATGTATCTAGCTCTAGGAACAAGTGTCTTACATGTATATAATACACTCCACAAACACAGAGTTGATTGTCGCGCAATGAATTTTAAATGTATAAGTTTTATTTTCGATTAAATGTATCCAACATCTCTACGAAGCTATGCGGTGTAGAGATTTAGCAAAAGGGAACAGTCCGAGTCCGAAAGACAATGTTCCGACAAAATGAAAAAAAAAAATGTTCCTATCTACTATAGTGGACTGTTCCTGATAGTGGAAAGTTGTGTCAAATCGTGCTCTCGGTTAAACTGAGTTTTCAGGTGGATTAATAGTTTTTTGTCTGTTTTTTTGTGCACAGCTGGTTTCTTTGTCTCAGTGTGAATCAACAGACACTACATTTGGCTCGGTGGGCCAAAGATTTTTTAAGAAAACTAAGTTTGAAAACTTACGATCTTCAGACCGATTTTCCGGAGGAACCGGGTCCGATAAACCGGAAGGGAAGACGACTCAAGACAAGTTATCCTACAGTGAGTATAATTGCCAAATTTCTGCTTGATTAGCCCACTGGTTATCTTGTTTTTCGGACATTTGTGTTTGACCTTCTTCGGCCCGCATCGGGCTTCCGGAACGGAACTTCAATTTTCTTTTAGTACGATCAGCTAAAGGTGTAAGGAACCAAGTCTGAGCTTTATTTTTATTTTACTTTTATTTTGCTTTCATTATATTTTGTTTGGGGCTTATGTTTAGTTAAGACGAAGGTTTCCTCACCATTCACCTTAGTAACTTAAAAATAGAAGAAAAACCAACTCACCGACGAAAGAAAAGCGCCGTAGAAAAACTCGCGCACACTTGCGCTTCCCAACCGGAAAAAAGTAAGTCCGCACCGACGAAAAGGGGGGGGGAGACCCCACAACCCAGTTAGGAATCGCTAAACCTTAAAAGAATAAAGCATCCCGATAATTGTTAAAGAATAATGTGAAAGGTTAGCGAAGTATTGTCGGAAAATGATCTGCCAGATAAACAAGAAAAATTTAATGTTACAGATAAGTATGTAAATGAGGAGAGTGAGCTCATTCAGAATTGTGACGTCACCTCACACTATAAAGCCTCTAACTCAAGTGAAAACGAACGAGGTGAATTCCTGATAGCAACGAGCTTTGGTGAGCTCCGTAGCAGTGAACGAGAGAGGTGTCCGATAGGATTTTGAAGTTATTCGATTTGTGGATCGACGATTATAGAAAGTCTTGAGAGTTGAGGAAATAGGTTCCTATTATATTGAGGTGACGATTAGGATCTTTAATTTATAAGAATTATTGTTTATAAGTTAATTCTTTGATTTTTGTCGAATTCCAAAGGGGAATAGAATTAAGTTAGAAATAGATTGATTTGAGTTTGTCGGATTGATGCTTGTTGATGAGTTTCATTGAATAAATTATTGTTTGATTTTTACTAAATACTGTATAGAGTTTTTTAATAGAAGTTTAATTAAATATTTGATTTTTGTTATTGACAAACTTTGTCATTATTTAATTCGGTGCACGCTTAAAGTCCAGGCCTGGCACACTAACGCGAATCCGCGTAAAGTACCCGTTAGGGAACGGCTATTTCCGGCACACAGTAGTGTCGATAATCGTTGGAAAGTCGGAAAAATAAATATAGTACTTTACAAAGGGTGTGTTTTGCTACATCCTGAACAACTTTGAGACCAATCCATCGAATAGTTTTTAAACAGCAGCGATTTTAAAACATTTCAACTTCTACCACTGAACAGAACAGGTGGTTTCCATGGCAACAAATAATGAACTCTTGTTTCATAACAGCTTTAATGGTCGTTTCTAACGGACATCGAGTTTTGGATGACGTCATTTATGATATTTAGTATTAGAACTATTGTGGATTGTTGTGAAGATTTCCTTCTTGGTTTTTTGTGTTACATTTAAGTAGTACTTAAGTTAATTTTAAGTATTTTAATTAGTTTTATCTATCTTTTCACACTGCATTGCTGGGTGACAACCTGACAGTGCAGTGTTGTTGAAACTAACGTTTCCTCTGTTACACGATTCTCTTCAGCGGAGGGTTTAGGCTAAACACATACACTACAGGGTACTGATTGTTGGTTAGTTTGGTCTTTTAATTAGTGTTGGTTGATCAACATGTCAACCGAAGACAGCAAGCCAAAAGATAATGGATCTACAACAGCAACTTGATAACGTAGCTACACAAGAAGACATAAAGGAAATTATTGCCACAACGAAGAATCTCAAGGAAGAGGTATCAAAAATTGGGGAGACACTTAAAACAATCCATAATGGTAACACAACCACATGTGTAGACATGGTTGATAGTAGGCTGGCCAAAATACAGGCACAGATGGAAAATATTCATATTAAGGACGATATTGTCAAAACACTCAATGCTACCAAAAGACTGGAAGAAGAGATGTTAGACATGAAAGAAGCACTTAACTGTAATGGGCATAAAGGTGGTATTGCCGACCATAAACTTTCTTATAGTGAAATAGTAAAACAGAGAACTAAACTGACAAATCCAAAAGGAACCAATAAATATAGCACCTTATTAGTGTACCCAAAGAATGGAGATGTTGGATCAAAAGATACAAAAAACACTATTAAGGATAAAATCAACCCTTTACATCTCAAGGTGGAAATAAAGGGTTTCCGAAAAATAGAAAAAGGAGGGATCGCCATAGATGTCTCAAAACAGGAAAAAATACAGATAATTGAAAACGAAATTAAAGATAAAGCCGCAAATCTTAAAACCATAATCCCTGAAAAAAGAAAGCCAAAGATATTAATAAAAATGGTGCCAAAACACCTGGTGAGGGAAGATATAATTAATTGCATTTTTGACCAAAATGAAATGATACACACTAATCTTGATAAAGATAAATTCATAGAAAAATTTAATCTTAGATTTGCATTTGGAGGAAAGAGGAAAGATAAAAACAACTGGATAGCAGAAGTTACACCAGAAATACTGAATATAGTCAATATAAATAAGAAACTAAATATTGAATGGGTAAGATGTCAAGCCGAAGAGTACTATTCTATAGTACAATGTTACAGATGCTGTAAATTCGGCCATACCAGTAAGACTTGCAAGGACCAACAGGAAGTATGCAGCCAATGCACTGGCCAGCATAGATTCAAGGATTGTCCCTACAGAAATAACAAACCAAAATGCAATAACTGTACACAACAAAAGGAAAAAAATAGTGAACACAATGCCTTTGAAAGATGCTGCCCATCATATAAAAGAATAAGAAACTTAATAACATCTCGAACCGACTATGGGAACTACAATTAATAGTTTAAAAATACTGCAACTCAACCTCCAAAAGTCAATCAGTGCAATCTCAACACTCTGTGTAGACATCGACGAATATGACATGGCAATCATCCAAGAACCGTACTGTATTAATGGAAAAGTGGCATGCATTCCGCATAGACATCTTGTTTTACAAGACCAAATGAACACTCCATGGGCAGCCATTGTCATACCAAATAATAGGATAGCAGTGTTTCATCATGGGCAGTTCACAACAGAAAATATAGTCTGTTTGGAAACACAATTTGGTGTTCACAGCTTAATAATAGTAAGTGTTTACTCCTCTGGCAACAAAGACATTTATAATGAAATAAAAGTCCTACAGGACATCAAAGACTACTTCAAAGACAGTCAAATAATTTTTGCTGGGGACTTCAATGCTCACTCGCCTACTTGGGGGCAGTGAATTGGACAATAGAGGCAAAGCATTGGAGGAATTCCTGACAAGTAATAACATGATTGTAATAAATGATCCCAACTCACCACCCACTTTTGAGGGCCCAAATGGGTGTTCATGGGTAGACATTATGTGCACTACAACAGGTCTATTGGGCATTATTAAGGATTGGAAAGTAATACAATATACACTATCAGATCATAACTCTATAGAAATCCTTATAGAAAGCACAACAGGCAATATTGCTTTTAATGGTACGAAAATTTATAATACCAGAAGAGCCAATTGGGATTATTTCATTTCAATGCTGGATAATAAATTGGATTTAAGGCAAACGCCTTGTGATAGGAATTTTGCAATGTTAACTGTTGACAGACAGATTAAACAAATTAATAAAATATGTGACGAAAGTTTTGAAATAAGTAAACCAAGCAAAAAAGAAAATCCTTGGTGGAGTGATGAACTAGCGAATATGAGGACAATCAATAAACACAACAGGAAAAAATACCAGAAAAGCAGGGAAGCTGAAAGAGATAGGTTAAGAAAGACATATCTGGAATACCAAACAAAATACAAAGGCAATAAAAGAAGCTAAAATCAACTCATGGAGGGAATTCTGCTCTTCTGCCTCCACTGATCTGTGGGGATTCATCTATAAGTGTTGTGCTAATAAACTTAAGAACCCACATTGCCTTGAAGGACTCATAGGAAAGAATGGAAAAGCAAAAAACAAACAAGAAACAATTGAACTATTAATGGAAACACTATGCCCTGGGGATGACCCCTTACAGGACAATATGACACAGAGGAGAATAAGGGCAAACATAAAAGAATACATACCAGGTACTAGTCCTCCACCTTTTACCTTCACTGAGATTGATGAAGCAATCAGAAGACTGGCGGCAAGGAAAGCCCCAGGCCTCGATGGTATCTCGGCAGATATAATTATAAAAATCTGGAGAAATCGTCCTGATATTCTGCAAACAATTTACAATTGCTGTCTCAAATATCAATTTTTTCCTAAGGCATGGAAAAAAGCAAGAGTGGTACTTATCCCAAAAAATAAAAATAATACTAATAAGTCACCCGATGATTATAGAAACATCTCATTGTTGCCAATAATGGAAAAGGTTCTGGAAAGGTTGATCCTAAATAGACTAAATTGGTATCTTCATATGCAAACTTTTTAATAAAAAACAATACGGTTTTCGGATCGGAACTGATACTACTGATGCAATCCTCTCGGTCACTAATAAAATTAAAGAACTTTTAACCATGCATCCATATGTATTGGGACTAAGCCTAGATATCTCAGGAGCTTTCAATTCAGCATGGTGGCCAATGATAATGCACAGGTTGGTTGGTTTGTTAGAGTTTATTGGCGCAAGGGCCTTACAGGCCAAGCTGCGCCATAGCAAATGGTATATATAAATAAATAAATATATATATCTGTTCCACAGTTC